GATTACTACAAAATTATGACCGTGTACGCTACGTTACGGCTAAAAAGGTTCTTTATCAGCAGTTTGTTTTATATTAGACATAATTTTAGAAATGAATTTGCAAACTGGATACTGCTCCGCTATGTATTTATAAAAATTTTCAAGTGTGATGCGCGCGTTGTGCACACACAAATAAAACAAGAAAAAATATTCATTTCGTTCATTGGTTGGTATCATATAAAAAAGAAAATTGATTAAAACCAAATTAAAACGTATAACTGGAGATGCACTCCCGGTTATTTATGCGTTCAATTTTTTTTATTAAATTGTACGTCCAGTTTCGGCCCGGCCAATTTGATAGTATATTAAGCGCCATTCTGTGTCATACGTCAAGCATACGTCTAACAAGAAACCGTTCATTCATTTTTTGCCTGTGGTCGACGTTTTTGTTTTTCGCCGTATTTCTTGCATTTATTACTGTGAAATTTAACGCATTTGCCACTGATTAAATAATATTTTTTCCACGTGTTGCAATGTAAGTTTTGCTGATGGTGAATGTTCAGCTGGCGGTGTAGCTTTTGCACTGATTAGCGGCAGACGGTAAGTTTTTGTAACTTTCGAAAAATAAATATTTTTAAGTCACCAATTTTCCTTGTATATTTAACGTGTTTGAATACGTAAATTTAAAAGGTTTGTTTGTGCATTAGTTAAACAAAGAAAATGTGTGTTTTATCATAAATTGTCCGCCATAACCGTTTAAAAGATTTATTGTACTGATAGCTGTATTTATCTGCCAATCTACCTTGTATTCTTTTTCTTATCATTTTTTTATCAACAAGGAATGTTATAGACATTACATTTCTTTTTCAAAATGTCTACTTGTGTAATAGGCATTTTATTTTGGGCACTTTGATATATTGGTAAGTTGTTGAAGGTGTTTTTCAGCGAAAGTGTTACAGCAGCGATAAGAGACTGAATGTTACTAATATTAATCATTGGAGTGGGCAAATCATTCACCCAAGTTGAATCCAAGCACATTTGTTATCCCGGAACTACTTGGTACTCTACCAGTCATGTCCATATGAAAATAGCTCTGCCCTCATCACATTGGCTTCCCATCTGTGAATAATGTCCTTAAGAATTTTATTAACTTAAAAAAATTAAATTAATATAATTTTAACTTTTCTCCATCTTGTTCGATCGGCTGCACCGATTATCTTAGATGTTCATTTCAATTTCAAACCATCTGGCCGGGATGCGAATTTCGATCTTCTCATAGCCTTAAGCTCTATTCCTTCTCACTGCACCGATTTTTTGTCTAATTATTTTTCCCTTCATGCAATCCGTCTTTGGAACGCAATCCCGCTCCATGTAAGACAAGCTCAGGCCTTCCGATTTATCTTTCAAGCGCATATTGCGCTAGCATCTGTTTGACAATTGTTAAAATCAAGGCTCTGTACAATGGTGCTTTGGGTACATTTGCTCGTTTGCCAGAACAACGTGTTATTTATATATCAATCAATGTATTAGAGATACCACCTGTTGTTCTGGCAAGCAGGCGATATATTATTTATTATTATAATATATAAGTAAGTTTATTATGTATGTATAATGTACGGTTTTTGCACCATACAATACTTTGCTAACTTAAAAACCTACATATTGCTCGTGTAAATGCTCATAAAAGACAGTTGACAACTCGCTTCACTAGCGATCGGCCACAGATAAGCATTCAAAACTATACTGTACACTTTTTACTTAATACATCAACTTATTACAGAAACTATGGTTTGCGTCAACTCTATATCCTACTCTACTTAATAATACTTCAATCTTAGACATTCAGAGAACCATATAATAAGTATGTTTATATTATATTATTTATTGCCATACAAATTAACGATTACCTTTCTAGTATATTATTCTTCTTGTTTAAGTGTAGCACCAACTTATGATTTTTTTTCTGTTTGGCCCAATGGTTGACTGGTAGAGAATGCTTTATGGCATGAAGTCCGCCATTCGTACTTCGGTATATTGTACAATAAAGTTTAAATAAATAAATTTACGGTATCTACCATATCTCATAGATGGCTAGGTAGAAATGCTCTACAGCAGTGTTTCCCAAACGTTGTTCTGGCATGACCTGGTAATTTTCATACTGCTTCTTTGTGACCCACTCAATACTTTGAAACCCAAGCTGGTTACATTAAGTAAAATAATACACATTTATTGTTAGTAATAATGCTCTACTAATATTTTTTAATTATCGCCTATTTAGTGCGAAGTATGGAGATGCTATTTCTTTTTATTAAAGATTCCAAGTTCGCGGAAAATGAAGAAAGTTTAATCCTGAGGTCTGGTTCCACTTCAACAAGGCCTGGTGCCTATTTTATTTTGATGGCCCGGTACTGGGTCTTGACCTACCAAATGGGAAACACTGCACTGCTCTTTGGAATCTATGTTTTGGTAATCAAATCAAATTAAATGCCTTTATTGTTCCTTAAATAATAAACATACTTTTCAGTAAATTCAGTTTTAAATATCATTGGAGATACAATGTCGTTTTAGATTTATTACATATTATTACGTCTATTTTAAAATTTAATTTTTTATCATATCACATATTTATTATTATTTTAGATTAAGGACCCCTTGTTGGGTATAGGTCTTCAACTCCTTCCATTTAACTCTATCCCTCGCTACTTCCATCCAGTGTGGGCCTGCTGTTGGTAGGATGTCGTCCCCCCATCTGGTCCTTGGTCTTTCTGTTTTTCTTTTACCGTTTGGACCCTTCCATTTTGTGATGGTGGCAGTCCATCTGCTGTCTATTAATCTGGCTATGTGTCGCCCCTATTGCCACTTTAGTTTCATTGCATATTGTAATGAAACAAATGCAATCTGTGAGTTTGGCTAGGTTTGATTTGTTTTAGTAACACTGACTCGTCATTCAGATCATCCTAATACCAAGGTATAACGTTCAGGGAACAAGTCTGGAGGCAGGGAATTCCACTCCATAGCTGTTGGCCATATAAACATGGAAGTATTTACTATTAAACAACAGCCTTACAAAAATACATGACATACCTAAGGATATTGCCTAAATAATGTCCTAATGTGTTACATGATAGAATATACTTTATCCGATCATATAAAATGAAAATAAAAATCTAAAACGAATTATTGAAGAATAAAATATGTAACTTTGCACGTCATTTTTATATGGAGATATTTCCTTTTAAATACTACAGAGAACCTGTTAAATTTTAGTTTTTAACTGACACCATGCCGTTATTAAATTCACATTTATTCCAAAACTTGCAAAATTGCCTAGCGGTTTAACGACACGGCTCGCTGTCCGCTGTCCCGTCAGTCGCCATTGGGTGCTTGTCAACGTCGGGTTTGTGTAAATTTTCTCCGCCTGTTCTTATTTTATACATATTAATTCTAGGGTCGACAGACTAAAGCACATAAGTCAAAAAAGTGATTCATTTGTTAATATATAATTATATATTTATTGTGTTGTTTTTAGTGTTGGAAGTTAAATAACCTCTAGAATAAAATTCGAAATTTATGAAGTAACAAATGAATTTGACTTATGTGCTTTAACCAGTAGATTTATTAATTTGAGTGAATGATGTTGGATTTTGACTTATGTGCTTTAGTCCGCCGACCCTAGAATTTTAAACGCGCAGATTGCGGAACGCTGAAATCTAGGCTTGTGTTTAAATACATAGCTTTAAAGCAGGGTTCCTTAAACTTTTTCTAGTCATGGACCCCTCTCAAAATTTCAAAGAGCCCACGTTCCTTGTACGTGTACCTTTTCCGAAGATATGAAGAAGAACTTCTTGCGGTTTACGGATAAACCTACGCAGGTTTTTTGTGTCACCTGGTTTAGATAATGATTTTCACAACAACTTGGTTGAACAATTTAGAAATGATATCAGTACCATTTGACTGATGAGTTGCCAGGGATGGATGACCCTTATTTCGTCACTATTTCTGGTTATATACTCGATGCTCGGTCCCCTTCAGGGGTCCATGGACCACAGGCTAAGTGCCCCTGCTTTAAAGCAATATTTAAAAAATGTATATGTGGGTTTGTATAAAACAAATTCCTTTTTGTTTGTATGTATCGGGTAGTGTAAGCAACTTAACGTCGGTGAATTGCAATGGTGGGAACAGGATGTTTCAAATGATTAGATAAATGTCTATATAAGTATCAACAATATCCGCATGAGTTACATACATGTGACATACATTGCTCTGTTTCCAAAGTAACTAAAGCATTTGTGTTACGGAAATTGGAAACAACGACGGTACCACAAGCGCCCTTTTTTACCAAATTTAGTAGCAGTAGAGCTCCTTGTGGAAGAGTTCGTCCAGGGAAGTACTGTCACCTTACCTATTTCTGCCGCCAAGCAGTGTGTCACGGTTTTGAAGGGTGCTGGTGAAATTACAGGCACATTGGACTTGCCAACTTATGTCTCAGGGTGACGAGTGTAGTGGCAGTCTCCCTCAGATTTTAGAAGAGCTTTAAATCGCAAAGATCTTAGGGGCTCTGCCACTGCGCCCGTCACCCTGAGACTTAATTTGCCAGTCCCATGTGCCTGTAATTTCACCAGCACCCATCCATTCTCACAATCCTTCTTGGCGGAAGAAATAGCAAGGTAGCAGTACTTTCATGGACGCATTTTTTCACAAAAGGTTCTACTGCTACTAAATTTATTATACAAACGTGTTTGTTATTTTAGCTCTGTTAAATATATCCTGTTTCAACCGCCGCATTATAAAATAATGACATCAT